AAACATCCACTCAATGTGCAGTGACAGTCAAAAAAGCAAACAATGTTAGGAATCATTTTAAAAAGGAATAAAGGATAAGACAGAGAATATCTTATTGCCTCTATATAATTCTATGCTACACCCACATCTTGAATACAGTATACAGATGTATACAGATGTATACAGATGACCAGGGCTCGCTGAACCACGGCGAGCCCCGCTCGCCAGCCACGCTGTCTGGCAATCTGCGCATGCGCAGATTGCCCGAACCCGGCTCTTCCAGGTTGCAATCTACTCGCCACGGGCAAGTAGATTGCATAATTTGTCGAGCCCTGCAGATGACTCATCTTGAGTAGTTTGTACAGATGCCTCATCTCAAAAAAGATTTTGGAAAAGGTTCAGAAAAGGGCAAAGAAAATGATTAGGGGGTTGGAACAGGTGCCATATGAAGAGAGATTAAAAAGACTGGGATGTTTCATCTTAGAAAACAGGAGACTATGGGGGGATATGACAGAGGTCTATAAAATCATGACAGGTTTGGAGAAAGTGAATAAGGAAAATGTATTTACTTGTTCCCATAACATAAGAAGTAGGGGTCACCAAATGAAATTAATAGGCAGCAGATTTAAAACAAAAGGTAGTTTTTCTTCATTCAGTGCAGTCAACCTGTGGAACTCCCTGCTAGAGGATGTTGTGAAGACCAGACTTTAACAGAGTTCAAAAAAGAGCTAGATATATTCATGGCGGTTAGGTCCGTCAATCCTTATTAGCCACGATTGGTAGAAATGATGTCCCTAGTCTCTGTTTGCCAGAGGCTGGAAATGGATGACATGAGAGGGATCACTTAACCCAGGGGTTCTCAAACTTTGTGTTACCGCGACCCGCCTCTAAGTTGCTGCAACTCCCCCCAAGTTGCTCGCGACCCCCGGGGGGCCAGGACCCACAGTTTGAGAAACATGGACTTAACCTGTTTTGTTAACTCCCTCTGGATCATCTGGCATTGGCCACTGTTGGAAGACAGGATACTGGGCTAGATCAACCTTTGGTCTGACCCAGTATGGCCATTGTTATATTCTTATGTTCACTATAGTATTCATGTTCCCCAGAGTCATGACCCTCTGTAGCAGAATGGTATTGGTGGCCTTGGATACTAGTATGATAACAGCCCCATTGTAGATTTCCCCGCTCCAAACTGATTTCTCACTGAATGGTAGCTGTCTGACGTTGCAAGCTTCCAGAGGGCTATTGCCTCACATTTCTTCATGGTCATAGCGGGTCTCATTTAGGTATTGTGGTGCCTCAGCACAGGGGAAAGCCATTTGTAAAGTTCCAAGAAAGTGGTCTTTCACATTCGGAAGTTTTGCAGTCCTACCAGTCTGAGTTTGTCTCATGGCTCCAGAACCAGCATTCCACTGTGTCCACAAGATTGACTGGCAGTTGCGCTAGCACCACAGCTTGCGTGAGCAGCAACTCCATGCCAAGCTGAGATTTGTTCTCATTCTCTTCCTGGCAGAGCAACATAGATACACTCTCCAAGTATTGCACCATTAGGCGCACCACAACACACATCAGCATCACAACTGTCTGCTGCAAACTAGGCTTCATGCTTGCTCTGGTATAGCATATGCGTGGGCAACCAGGGCACAAAAAGGCATAAGCACACTGCTACCCATTGATCTGATGCAAGGGGAGAGGGACTAGACAAGTGCATTATGGAACAATGATGACATGAGCCCACAACCTCCCACTGCACAGTTTTGGTACCAATGGGCACCGGGAGGAGAGCCCAGAATGCAAAGCTAAAGAGTGCATTGCTCTCTGAGTCGACAGTAGGCTCTCAAATGAGGCCATGCTACTTCAGACTACATTTGATTCTTCTCTGAAGTGAGGACATGGACCTTCGACTTTGCAAAACTGAATGCTCAGAAATTGAACATATTGGATTCAACCTTATCTCATAATGTAGAGATGGTCTTTGTGCTTGCTTTCACACAATCCTTTGGGCAGCACATTTTTTTAATGTCTCCAAGCAATATTTGGTTCAGGAAATATGGCTACTCTAAATACACAGTTCTCTGTGAATTTTTGAGTATTGTTTTGCCACATCTCAGACTAAGGATATGTCTACACGACAGTGCTATTTCAAATTAACTTAAGCTAATTCTAAATAATGCATCTATACACAAAAACTATTTCGAAATAGTGTTTTGCTATTTCGAAATAGCGCATCCACACGGAGCGGACCCTGAACCAAAGTTAAGGCTGGCCGGAACCAATGCCGGCAGGGCATCGGGTTAGGACTTAGTGTGTGGGGCTCCTGCCTGAGGCTAACTGAGCTTCGTGCTTAAAGGGACCCTACCCCCACCCCAGACAGACAGTTCTCAGGGTTCCCCACTTGCTTGATTACCTCGATGAAGGACAGCAAAGCAGTCCTGTCTTGGAGTGCCCTGAGTGCCCGCACTCGGGACACCACAGCACTCAGCCACATGGAGCCAGAGCTGCCCCTGAGCATGCTAGTGCGTCTCATGGGGTCATTGCCATCAGCCCAGCTGCACTTGCTGCAGGCTGCCATCCAGGGGATCCATCAGTCAGGATCCAGGAGGCCCTGAGGGAGAGCGTCCACCCCGGGGAGCCTCCCCGGCCCTCCCTACCGGAGGCTTGTGCCCCATTCCTCCCTCACGTCCTTCCACTTACCCCTCTTTAGCCCTCCTTCCTGATGTCAAATAAAAGACACATATATTCAAAAATAGAAACTAGGTTTATTGAACAAAACTGGGGGGGGAGAACCTCTGGGAAGCCTGGGAAAAGGAGGTAGGAGAGGGGAAGAGAGAGAGTGGGAGAGGGGAGGGGGAAACCTGGGAGGCGAGAGCTGGAATGGGGAAGCAAGGGGAAGAAGGGGGAGGGGAAGCTCAGGGCTCAGGGTTGGGGATCTCGCCGGACCAACCTGACTTTCATGCTAACCTGCTCCTAGGTTCGCATGTGGCCTTTGGTGGCCAGGCTGGCAGCTATCCTGCCACAGATGGCCGCATTCCTCCGTCTAGTGCGGAGATCATGGACTTTGGGGGCATCCCCCACAAACCTGAATGAGGTCCATGATCTCCTCCCTGGACCAAGAAGGCGCCCGCCTTCTCCAGCCCCTGTCAGGTCCCTGGGAGCGGGCAGACTGCTCCTGGGGAGCGGTGGAGGGCTGGCTGCCAGTGGCTTGCTGGCTCATGTTTTGGGGCCGCTGGGTCAGGGGCTCCGGTGGCCACTGCTGGCTCTTGGCTGGCAGGCTTGGAGCTGGCACAGGCACCGTGGCCAGGGTCTATCCCTTTAATGGTTCTGGGGCTGGGGGAGAGGAGAGTAAATTTTCCTGGTTGTGCCTAGAGTGGCCACCAGGGCTCCCTGGGAAGGGCTGGAGGGCCCCTATTTTGAATTAAGTGTCTACACAGCACTTAATTCAAAATAGCTATTTCAAATTTGGTGTTACTCCTTGTAGAATGAGGTTTACAAAATTCGAAATAAGGGCTCCACTATTTCGAATTTATTTCGAAATAGCGGTTTGCCTGTGTAGACACTATTAAAGTTAATTTGAAATAACAGCAGAATTAACTTTGTAGTGTAGACATACCCTCAGTGACTTCTTTCTACTTGTGCCTGAATGATTGCTGTACACTAATGACACCCAGAGTAGGCTCAAGAGATCAATGAGAATCTGCGCATCTTGTGATTAGTTTTTCTGGATTCAAGTCGCAAACAAAATAATTCCCACTGAATTTTTTTAAACCCACTATTATGTCATAAACAAAGTCAAAATAGATAATCTTGAACAAAGCCATTCTTTACTGTTTTAAGGAAATAAAGGACAACACATAGAGCAAATAGGACATATAACTATAATATACTTGACTACTTTTTTAAAAACACTAACCAAGCCGTTCTGAATATATCTCATTCAATAGTTTTGCATAGAGAACACATCTAAACTGAGTATCTGTCTTCTGTCTATAACTATCAAGACTAGACCATAATATTATGGAAGTATCTGAAACTTTACCTGAAAAAAATCAGTACAAAATAAATCTCTCCTCACTGAATAGATAATTATAAAGGAAATGGTAGTCAGTATATTGAATTCACTTACAGTTCCTTCCCTTCTCCAGGAGTCTTCCATACATATTCAGAACAGATAATCACCCCCTTTTACATCCATTGATACCCAAGACCTTACATCACAGCCATTACCTTTTCTGCTGAGGTGACAGGGCTTCTTTCAGAACCTGTCAACATCACCTTTTAATCAACCAAATTGGCCAGTGATAATATATATGAAGGGCTGAGTGCCTTTTTTTCAGGAGGTGTGCTTCTAATACATTCACATTTGGCTTGAGAGGGGACAGTACAACATGAAAGCTTAAAGTTTAACTTTATTCCTCTGCTTTCCATTGCAGTGCATCACCACTAAGCTATTGAGATGGCTAAAAAAATGACCCCACGCGGAATACTAATACATTCCTCTTTCACAGACTACTGGCAATTTAACTAATTACTAGAATGTACAGTACAAATCAGGATGGTAATTTCTTAACGTTTAGCTCAAAATTGCACATTCATTTTGTGCCTTTTTTTGGTAAGTTTTCCTTTCCATCAAAAGAAAGCAAAGGCTTACTATAATTTATAAACAAGAAAGTTGCTGCTTTTCTGATTAGTGGTCTACACACAACCATTTTAAACTTGCAAGCTAGTTGCACAACAATTAGCAACTGTGTTGCTTATCCAAAGGAACTTTGATTAGCAAGCTCACAAATTTCTGAAAAACTTAGCAAGGCCTATAAGCTAACAGTGTAGATATTTTACTGCAATAAAAGAGAAAGGAGAAAAATCCAAACAATATAAATGGCATTTTTACAAAGTAGATAGAATCCTGTAAAATATTCAGAAAGAGTTATATTTCTTGAAATAACATTAAAGTTCATATTTTCATAGAGTACATATGACTTTTTGTTTCTTACTTATTTAAATATAGGAAGAGATATTTTTACCTTGACAACAGTCTTAGTGTCCCATTAGTAATATCTGTGTAAGACAGATTTAAATAGAGAAGAGCTGGACAACCTTCTGATATAAGTCTCATTGATTCATCCTGAATAGTAAACAAACAAATAAATAAAAATAATATTTGTCAATGTATGTCAAATTAGGCTTTGTTTGCATTTTAGTGTATGTAAAGTCTCTTCTATGCTGTAGCAGAAAAACTAAATTAATTTCTTTAAAGCATTAAATGCAACAGTACAAATAAAACATCTCTTAAAATGTTCTAAAGAAAAACACTATACTACATTGTTTACAGAATTATTTTTGTTGATTGTAAACATGACTATTTTTATGCACCCAATTCAGGCAGGCGCCTAAGAACCAAGTAGTCCTAATAAAATCAGTTGTATTATTCACAGGCTTAAGTGTTTTGCTTAATCAAGACCTTAGTTAGTATATATAGACTTCCTAAAATCCAGGCAGTGTGCTTTATTAAGTATTCATACCAGTCCATCAATTATAAAATACTCACTTGTACACAACCTTTCTTTTTAATTTGAGTTAGGGATGTTAGCATATAGCTGTTTAAATGATTAAATGTTTATCGGTTAATCTGTATCAAAGGCAGCAAGGCGGGGAGGCTGGAGCCAGTGCCTGTGGGGAGCCAGTTTCCCCCACATGATGGTTCCTGTGAAGCCACATGCCCTCCTCTGCTGCCTCCTACAGAGGCAGCATCACAGGGGGTTAGTGCTCAGGGAGAGCCATCTGAAACGCATCGGATCCCATGGAACCACTTGCTCCCCACCCATGCTGCTGCTTTCAGGAGCCATGCAGAGCCAAGGAAGGCAGGGAATATTGGCCTGCTTTTAAAATAAGAAATTACAAATTGCCATTAAAACAATCTCATTTCAAAATTAAGTTCATGTAGAAAGTATTCTTCATCAGAAAGGGACTTATGAAAACATCAAACAGAATTACCAGGAGCCAAATAGGTTTGAAAACTATTTAGGAAAACTAAAAGACAAAATATATTTCCCATGAACCACAAGGAATGCTTCACCTCCAGACAACAGGAAAAAGAAGAGATTGCCATGATAGCTCTGTTTTGAAAATCCCACACCTTCTCTCCCCTCCCCCCCACCCCCACACACATTCTATACAATTCGAATTATGTGAAGAAATATGATAGTACTTACATTTAATCCTTTGCATTCAGAGACATTTAGGTCTTGCAAATTTTTACATTCACCTAAAATAAAAAATAAACTTAATATTGGAGTTAAAGATTAAACAGTTGTAATTCTCTGCATCAGATCAGAGGTCCATCTACCTCAGTGTCCTGTCCCTGACAATGACCAGCACCAGATGATTCAGCGAAAGTCCAAGAGACCAGGCAGAAGATATTTATGGAATAACTTGCTCATCAGAAAAGTTGTTTCCAGCCTCCTACCAGTTTCTGCAGAGGAAGGCAAACCACAGCCTGTGGGCTGCTTTCACCCATCAGACCTTTTATTTCAGCCCTCAAGCTCTTGCTGGGGATCAGCGTCAGGAGCTTGCCCCACTCCAGCACTACAGCTGAGAAATGGGACTCGTGGAAATGGCAGCACGTCCCTCCTGTACATGGAGACAGCCAGGGGGCTCTGCATGCTGCCCGTACACTAAATGCTGTCCCCGCTGCAGCCAATGGGAGCTGTGGGAACAGTGCCTGTGGACACGACAGTTTGGAGAGCCTCCTGGCCATGCTACTCAATAGGAACATGCCATTGCTTCCAAGAACTGCTGGAAGTACGTGCTGACAGAGCTTGCACCCCAGGCCCCCTCCCATGCTTCAATATCCTATCCCAGCCCTGATCCTCCTCCAGCCCTCTGAACCCCTCAGTCCCAGCTTGGTGAACTGCTCATCCCTAGCTCCGCCCCTCTTGCACATCAAACACCTCATCCCTGACCCACACCTTCAGCAAGAGCTCTCATCCCCTCCCACATCCCAACCCCCTGTCCCAGCTTGAAGCCAATTGTGAACTCATTTCTAGCCCCACTCCAGAGCCCTCATCCCAAACCCCTAATTTCATGAGCATTCATAGCCCACCATGCAAATTTCATACTAAGATCTAGTCCCCAGGCCAAAAAGTTTGCCCACCACTTAACTGGTAACTGGCTTATCTCCTGAGGCACAGTGATTCATGTCCAATATTACATTAAAAATTATATTAAAAGAAAGCTAACTTTATAAAGTCAAGAACTCAAAAGTCAGGCAAAATCCAAAGGTGAAAGTAAGCTGGTGCGTCCCAGCGTGGCACACTGGTAAAAGACTAGGGCTCTAGATGCTTCCAGTGTAGCAACAAAAATCACTTGTGTCACTACACCCAGGGCAGCACAGGTACAGTGTGCCCAGGCTCCAGCCCCACTGCTCAGATGGCCAGGTAGCAGAGTTACTGCCCCAGCTGAACCCAAGGATTCAGTGGCCAGGCAGCATGTTTGTTGCACCCCAACCAGCCCCAGGAATCCAGCATCTGTGTAGCATGGTCAAAGCGCCCTGGCCAGCTTCAGGGTTCCAGCAACCAGGCAGCATGGTGGCAGCACTTCCAGGCCCAAGCTCCCCCCACACCCTCCACCCTGAGCCTCCCACACCTTGCAACCAGTGTTCCCTGTATGCTTGTGCAGCCACTCAGGAGAGAGTCCAAATGCTGTCCAGCAGATTAGCAGAGCACCCAGTTAGGTTTTGGGTTTCTATTCTTGGTGCATAGTAGTAAACATAAGAACATAAGAATGACCATACTGGGTCAGACCAAAGGTCCATCTCGCCCAGTATCCTGTCTGCTGACAGTGGCCAGTACCAGGTGCCCCAGAAGGGGTGGACCGAAGACAATGATCAAGCAATTTGTCTCCTGCCATCCTTTTCCAGCCTTTGACAAACAGAGGCCAGGGGCACCATTCCTTATCCCCTGGCTAATATCCTTTTATGGACCTAACCTCCATGAATTTATCTAGATCTTTTTTAAATTCTGCTATAGTCCTAGCCTTCACAGCCTCCTCTGGCAAGGCGTTCCACAGGCTGATGTGTGCTGTATGAAGAAGAACTTTCTTTTATTAGTTTTAAACCTGCTACCCATTAATTTCATTTGGTGTCCTCTAGTTCTTCTATTATGGGAACAAGTAAATAACTTTTCTTTATTCACCCTCTCCACACCACTCATGATTTTATATACCTCTAGCATATCCCCCCTCAGTTTCCTTTTTTCTAAACTGAAAAGTCCCAGTCTCGTTAGCCTCTCCTCATATGAGACCTGTTCCAAACCCCTAATCATTTTAGTTGCCCTTTTCTGAACCCTTTCCAAGGCCAAAATATCTTTTTTGAGGTGAGGAGACCACATCTGTACACAATATTCAAGATGTGGGCGTACCATAGTTTTATACAGGGGCAGTAAGATATTCTGGCTGTACAATGCATAGACGTATTCAGAGAACTATCCACGGTAACTCCAAGATCTCTTTCCTGATTAGTTATAGCTAAATTAGCCCCCATCATGCCTCAGTGCACATAAAAATTATTATGCACGTGTGTGGAAAAAATCCACGCATGGATGGAAAAGATTAGAGGACACATTACTCCCAACCCCCTGTCTTGAGCTCCCCCATACCAACACAGCTGGTTTTTAAAATGGCTCCCCTTGTAGACCAGTTCCTGCCTAGCACCCTGTACTACTGTATGTGATACAGAGGCAGCAGTGCAGGGTGGCAAGGAGCTCCCCAGCAATGGTGCAAGATTGCATTGGCTGCCGGCTCCGCTTAGGCTTATTAGTTAATCTAGTCGACTACTCATAGAGTATGTCTACACTACAGCGTTATTTTGAAATATCTTATTTCGAATTAACTATTTCAAAATAAGTTATTTCAAAATAACACGTCTACACACAAAATGCATTTCAAAATAGCGTTTTGCTATTTCGAAATAGTGCGTCCATCCTGAGTGGACGCTGAATCGCATCAGGTCAGGACTTACTTTGTGGCTGTGTCCAGACTCAGGGGTTTTTTCAAAAAAAGTAGTCTTTTTTCGAAAAAACTTCACCTGCGTCTAGACTGCAGCCACGTTCTTTCAAAATTAAATCGAAAGAACGCGGCTTTTCTTTCGGCGGCAATAAACCTCATTTCACGAGGAAGAACGCCTTTTTTCGAAAGTGCTCTTTTGAAAAAAGGTGTTCTTGAATGCCAACAGGGCTTTTTAGAAAGAGAGCATCCAGACTCACTTGCTGCTTTCTTTCGAAAAAGCAGCTTGCTTTTTCGAAAGTACTGCTTGCAGTCTAGACGCTCTTTTTCGAAAGAGGCTTTTTCGAAAGATACTTTCGAAAAAGCCTCTTTCGAAAGAGGCTTGCAGTCTAGACATAGCCTGTGTGGCTGCTGCCTGAGGCTATCTGAGGCCTGTGCTTAAAGGGACTCCCCCGGGCAGCTGGTTCTCAGCTTTCCCTGCTTGCTTGCCTACCTTGATGACAGACAACAAAGCATTTTGTCTCTGCGTGCTCTGGTTGCCCTCACTTGGGACACCACAGTACTCTGCAACATGGAGCCAGAGCTGCCCCTGGGCACTCTGGTGCTTCTCGTGGACACTTTGCTGCGAGCCTGGCTGCACTTTCTGAAGGCTGCCATCCGAGAGGTCCATCGGGGGAGCTGTCAGTATCCAGGAGGCCCTGTGGGAGAGCTTCCATCCTGAGGAGCACTAAGAGCCTCCCTAGTCGGCCCCACTGGGGGCTTCGGCCCAA